TGTAACGAAGGCCTGTGCTCTCTCTGACTTTCTTTGGGAATGAATTTTCGGATCATGGAGGCTACACTATGAGCCACTCCAAGGGCACCTGTAGTGTCCCTGATAAAACTTACCCTAAGCCTGGGAAGTTAACCCTGGGTCTTTCCATTACAAGGTTTATTGGAATGCGTCGCTATTGGAATAAATATACTGATGAGGATCCTATTCATCAATGGGCAGATTTTGAATTGGAGAAACTTCTATATTTAAAACAAATTTGAGAAAATTCTCATAACCAGCAACTGCCTTGCTGGTACTTCCGGGAAGGTCAGAGTGACAGGAGAACACACAGAAGCATGACACCTGGCTTAAAAGGTCCCTTAATAAAATAAAAGAGCAGAAGTTAGATTCAGCGCAAAAATTAAAAACCAAATCTAGCGTGCATTCTCTTCCTCCCACCTGTACTCCCCTTTATCCACAACTCCTTGTCCCTGGCGGTCCAGTCTTCTGGCCTAAATGCTCCTCCACGCCTCACTCCAGCTCCCCAGTCAGAGCCCTTCCATCCTAAATAGCCCCTACCTTCCCCATGAGACCCCTTAAGTGCCCAGTTGCCTGTTTTATCTTCCCTTTCTTTACAAGACTTACAAAGGGCACTCGGGCCTGACCTCCAGGCTGATGGGTGGCCTGGTAATTTGTATAATTGCTGAAAGTCAGGAAGGGCAGAGGGCTCACTCTGCTGTCCCCTCTGATTTCTCCTGTTTCCCAGGACTTCATAAACAGGCTTTACCAGCTTCTGCTATTCATATGCAATGTCCCTTGAGGATGTATCCTGCACCCCTGTCCCCACCACCAAGAAGACATGTGCCCTTGATGGCAGCCCATCTTTTAAATCCTCTGAACTTTTCTCTCAGGAGATCTGACAAAATTCAGAGAGGAATTAGAAAGATTAATAGCTACTCATAAGTCCACGACAGGGGTCTTGATTGGCTGCTAAGGGGGGTACTTGCAGCCCATGATTACACAATAACTATCAGACAGGCCAGAGGACCACTGGAGAACACCCCGCAGAGGGGAAACAGATGGCCAGACCCTCTGCCGGGCCCTCCTGCAAATGAGCATGAAACGGTTCCACGAGAAACTGACATTCAAGGGTTTCTAGGAGTGATGACGGAGGGCTTTCCTCCTAAAGAGAGTTGGTACAAGTTGAATCAGGAGAACATCCAAAAGCACCTGTTGGACATTTTGCAAAAGCCTTTCAGAGACACACTCACAGCTCCGAATTCTTTCCAGCATTCAGTTCTCATTCCCAAGCTTTGGAGATAATGGATTGGAAAAAGCAATCTTCAGTCTCGGCATGGTAATGAAACAAGAGTTCAGTGCCACTCTGCAACGTCAACAGCTTAACCTCTGTGGTTCTCCAAAATCACCACGCCCTAGAAATGCTGACGGCCCAACAAGGGGGAGCCTGTCCAGCCATCGGTGAAGACTGTTGCTTTCATGTAAACCAAATGAGACTGGTGGTGTGTAACTGAAATCTGTGAAAAGAAAGAATTGATACTTCCCATCAGATAAATGAACCTCAGACACTTCATTAGACTGACAGCCCCAGGAATGGGGGGCTGGTTTAATGGGGTGTGGAAAACGTGCTCCCATTGGTTCTTTTCTGTTTGTTTCTCCTCATGTGCCCCTATGTTCTTTTCTCCCTCTGCAGCTCCCTCACCACTCAACTAGCTCACTTGTCTGCACAGCCACCAGCTGGTTTGGACATGCGACACTGCTAGGGAGTTTCAGAGGAGGGAACTGTGGGCGTCCGGAGGGCGTGTCCCCAGAATGTGCCACCCTGGCCGGCAGATGATTTCTCACTGAAATCAATTAAAGCCCTACAAACTCAGGAAGAGTTCTTTACTTCTACTTTTTCTTTCTTTTTTCTTTTTTTAAATTTTATTTATTTATTTTAAAAACAAATGTATTGGGGTGACATTGATTAATAGGATCATAGAGGTTTCAAGTGTACATTTCTATGATACAAGATTTGAATATTGTACTGTGCCCACCACCCATAGTCAAACCATCTTCGGTGGCCATATATTAGGCCTCCTCAACCCTCTGCTTCCCCTTTTTCTTAAAGAGATTCAGATAGGAACTTTGGCATCATCACCTTTAACATTTTCTCCTTAGCATGGGGAAGACTCCAGGAATGTTGACTAGATTACTCCCCGCCTCCATCCCATTGTTCCTGACTTGCCCAGCAAAAATTTACCTGCCAGGTATGTTCAGCTCTTCCTCAAATAGCCATAAGTCACCCATTCTTCCTTCTGAAATGTAAGACCCCAGTTCCCCTTTTCTTTGTTGTCCAAAATGTCATGGTCTGGTCAGTGGTTGAATGAGTGTTGACCTATGAACCAGGAGGTCATTGTTGGATTCCCGGTCAGGGTACATACCTGGGTTGGGGGCTTCATCCCCCGTGTGGAGCATGCACAGGAGGCAGCCGATCAATGATTCTCTCTATCCTTGATGCTTCTATCTTTCTCCCTCTCCTTTCCTCTCTGAAATCAACAACAACAAAAAATATTTTTTTAAAAAGAAAGAAAACTGGAAAAAATGCAACAAAAAAATGTCATGCATACCCAATGCCACCTCACTGTTTTTGGAATTTTCATGCTTATGTGAATTCCCTGTGTGCAGGTATTAAAATTTTGTTTTTCTTTCCCTGGCTGGTTTTGCTCAGTGGATAGAGCATCAGCCTGCGGACTGAAGGGTCCCAGGTTCGATTCCAGTCAAGGGCACATGCCCAGGTGTGGGTGAGGGCTTGATCACCAGTAGGGGGTGTGCAGGAGGCAGCCAATCAATGATGTTCTCTCATCATTGATCTCTCTCTCTCTCTCTCTCTCTCTCTCGCTCGCTCTTGCTCTCGCTCTCGCTCTCTCTCTCCCTTCCTCTTTAAAATCAATAAAAATATATTTTTAAACATTTTTGTTTTTCTCCTGTTAGTCTGCTGTATGTTGTTTGAATTATTTGACCAGCCAGAAGAACTAAAGGGGCAGGAGGGAAGGCTCCCCAGCACCAACAAGGCAACCACATACTGAGTGTTTAACTGAGCAAGGACTTACATATATTTTATGTCTTTATTCTCCCATCAACCATATTTAGATCTTATTAATAGTGCCTATTTGTGCTGGAGAACTAAGGCAGTTAGTAAGTTTAGTAAGTGGCCTAGCCCAGCTTCAGACTCAGGGTGGGCCTTAAATCATGGCTGCAATGCTGTGGCCATTAGGGACAGAAATAGAATATTGAGGACAAGCTATTAGTTGTAATAAATAATTATAAGAAATATTAATCATGCTATCAACCAAGGTTGTTTTGTTCTGATTAAAGAAAGCACATTCTAACCTGGCTGGGAGTTGCACGGTGGGACCTGGGAGCTCACCTAGACATGCTGTCTACCCTCCCCACCAGGAGCAGCCTATTGTCACAGAAAGACTAGCAACCTTATTGGGGAAAGGAAGCAATGGAGTCCCCTGCCCTTCGCAAACCCCCAGCCCACATGGCCTGTAATCTGTAACCATTATACCCATTCTTATTCCTTTTGCCTACTTCCTCATGTAATCTTTGTCTTTGTGCCCCATATAAGGAGCTGGCTTATGGGGAGGGGTAGTGCAGTGGATGACCTGCTGCTCTCCCAGGCTGCTGGCAGTATTGGAATAAATGCTCATATATGAGTCAACCCTGTCTCTGCTTAATTGGCTCAAGTAGTGACAGGCAGCCCGGACCCAGTGGTTGTCCGGTTTCATGGCCCCATGACTGTGCCTCTTACACAGGCAACCAGGCCACTGCCCTCCGGGGAGCAGACCTATGAGTAGCTGGGTTCTTTTGGTTGAATGAGAGTTTTATTTCAGCTGCTCCTGGTGGCTTCTTGCAGGTTCATTACCCTTCATTGGACTAAGCCCCCATCTTGTGAGAAAACGACTCCATGACCTTCCTTCACAGAATCTTCTCAGCTGCATTCAGATGCTCAGCCAAGTCTCCCAACTTTCTGCACTTCAGAGGGCAGTCATAGTGTCTGTAATCCAGGTGGAACCCAGAGCCCTGGGCATTTCTGATTAACGGTGGGAAGCAAAGTTGGAGGTTATAGAGCTAGATTTTTCACTTAGGGTCCTGCTACATTATAAAAAATTAAGGGGAGTTTGCCTGTGTTTGTCACTGGCTTATGACTGGCCCCTGTGAGGGTTATGCCCTGCTTCTCAGCTCTGTCCCCAGGCTTGGCCCCGCCAATGTGCTCCAAAAGGGTGCTCTGCTTCCTGAAGATCACGGGGAAGCAATAGTAGGAAACGGGTTAAGCATTCAGACCTACCCATCAGCAGATAGATGGACAAATAAAATGTACCCTCACCATACAATGGGCCATTCAACCATGAGAAGGAAGGAAGCACCGACACGTGCTACAGCATGGATGGGCTATGAAAGCATTGCATTCAGTGGAAGAAGCCACACACACGACATTGGGTGGTTCTGTTTATATTAAATGTCCAGAAATGGTAAGTCTAGAGAGACAGAAAGTACATTAGTGGTTGCAGTGACTGGGTTTCTTTGGGGTGATGACTTATTTTAGGTGATGAACTAGATAGTGGTGATGGTTGCACGATATTGTGGATGCACAGATGCCTCTGAAGTGAGTGGGACGCAAAGCCGACAGAGGCTGGGCAGAGCGAGTCCGGGCAGTCAGCTTGTGGCTGGAAGGTCAGAACAGATGTGATGTTGCTCTGCAGAGGCCCCACCAGGGAGCCTCCAGAAGGGGTCCTGCAGACGCTGATCTAAGCGTGCACATCGTCAGGACCCAGGGTTTCCTCCCTCCTCATGCTGGCCATCTCCAGGGCATTTGGTACCTTCTCTTTTCCTCAATCGTGGAGTGAAGGGCGGGAGCGAGGGTGATGAGGGAGCTCCAAGCAGCTAGTCACTCCTGGTGGCCAGCTCAGGCCAGAAGAAAGGAAGTGGCAAGGGCTGGTGAGGACCCCCAGCATCACCTGTCTTGTCCCCATTGACAATCCCATCCCACGTGGACGTGGCCATTGGTGGAAAGTTCTTGGCTGCCTCTGTTCTCAACCCCATGAGACTGGAGAGCTCCTGTAGGAGAAACCAGAGGGACTCCAGAGGAGCTCCTGCTCACTGTGCCTGATAGCTCTGAGCACCCCATTCTAGGGGGTGTTGCACAGGTCAATCCCTGGCACTCTGGCTCCCCGAGGCCCACTGGGCTACGCCTGCCTGCCGAGGGTCCGACCCAACCATTTCCATCTTCCTCCACTCAACAATGCATTTGCCCTTAAAAAAAAAATTAACGGCCTTTTGCCCTTTTTAGGTTCTGGAAGTGAGACGGATGGAGGTGGAAAACCAAGCTACGTACGCTTAATCAAAAGTGTAGCTCTCACAACTTAAAATGACAAGATTAAGTCAGAGTTACAGGGATGGAAGGTCTCTAGCCTTGATCAGATTTCCCCACCTTTCCCCCCCAAACCCTACCCCCAGCCTTCCAGGTGCCCTCAGGGCAACTCTTCCCTCTGTTCTCCTTCCACCAGACACGTGGCTTTATCCTCAACACTTCACCTTCTCACATATCCTACAGCCAGCGGGGCTGGACCACAGTGCAGATGTCTCCAGCATCCGACCCTCTCCCCACCACTGCTGCACAGTGTGGCTGGGCAGTTGGCAGCTCACCTGGGTCTCCCGTCTCCCTTCTGTAAGAGTACGAGTGAGCCGCGCTGCTCTGAAGTGTCCACACTGCCCTCGAGTGGAGCCCCACCTTTGAATGGTCCCCAAGGCCCCTCTGGACCTGCCCCCTGAGATTCCTCCCCTCTTGACACTGCACCTTCCTCACTTCATCGAGGCTACTCTGGTCTCTCTGCTGCTCCAGACTTTCCAGAAACCATGCCTGGTTTCTGCACAGCTCCCCCCTCACTTTCTGTAAGTCTTTGCTCAACCTCTTGGGGAGGCCATCCTGACCTGGTACCTGGCTCCCTGCCTCCAACCTGCCTTTTTCGGAGCCCTGGTCACCTCTAGCATATTCCACACTTGCTTATTTCACCCATCTCCTCGGTACTGTCCACCTGTGGGTGCAAGCTTCACCAGGGCCTGCGTGCTTTGTAGTTTCATCCACTGACATTTCCCATGTGTCTTGCACACTAACTGGTGCACACTGGTGGGACATTAAATTGGAGAGATGCTGTGTGCTTCATTAGGAAATACTGGAAAAAAATCAAGGAATATGTAAGGTGGATATATATGGAAAGCCTATTGTTTGACATCTCCACCTTTGATTTATGTTTATGTGTTCAGGGACCTAGAGCCCCTATAGGGTGGGCCCCTCTGAATTTCAAGAATTCATAAAAAGGATCAGAAGATTTCACTTTGCTTAAAAACAATTCCCCTATTTCATTGTTACTAAAAAAAATAAAATATCCCAAACTGACACAGGAAATTCTGATACAGAGAATACTCTTGACATTGAAAAAATACACAGCCTTAATCTTCAATGCAACAGTTGCTGAATATATTTTAAGTATGGCGGAAACAGAAGAATTTTTTTTCCTGTTGACATACATTTGAAGATTTCCATAGACATCTGAGCCAGGCATTCCCAGTGCTCAGCCTCAAGGGCAACTGCGTCCGTGTATTAGTAGATGTGAGGACAAGGTGACTTTCCCATTGAACTTGCTCTCACTGTGCCCTGAACTGCGGGCCGCATCCCGGCACCGAGCAGAGCGAGGATAGATGTGTGTGCACTGGGAAGCCGCTCTTGTCACGCTGTAGAGATCGGAGAGACCTGCGCTCTGCAGACATGGTTTTCAGAGTCGCTCACTCAGGCTACTTGGCCTTCCTCTCAGTTTTGGACACAAGGCCACATGCTACACACACCAGGTCAGGGTCAGGAAGTCAGATTTTCGAAGGGAGATTTGGAGCTAAGAGTTCAATTCTGTATTTCAGTAATGTTCACGACCCTACACCCGTGGTCGGCAAACTGCGGCTTGCGAGCCACATGCGGCTCTTTGGCCCCTTGAGTGTGGCTCTTCCTAAGCTTTAGGAGTACCCTAATTAAGTTAACAACAATGTACCTTGACTAATGAGTTTGCCAACCACTGCCCTACAAAATGCCCCCTACTGAGGCTCGTAACCCGGGCTGCTCCATGCTTTTCCATGCTTGTTCCATGCTGCTCCATGCCTGCTCCATGCTGCTCCATACCTGCTCCATGCCTGCTCCATGCCTGTTCCATGCCTGCTCCATGCTGCTCTATGCCTGCTCCATGCTGCTCCATGCCTACTCCACGCTGCTCCATACCTGCTCCATGCCTGCTCCATGCTGCTCTATGCCTGCTCCATGCCTGTTCCATGCCTGCTCCATGCCTGTTCCATGCCTATTCCACGCTGCTCCATGCCTACTCCACGCTGCTCCATACCTGCTCCATGCCTGCTCCATGCTGCTCTATGCCTGCTCCATGCCTGTTCCATGCCTGCTCCATGCCTGTTCCATGCCTATTCCACGCTGCTCCATGCCTACTCCACGCTGCTCCATACCTGCTCCATGCCTGCTCCATGCTGCTCTATGCCTGCTCCATGCCTGTTCCATGCCTGCTCCATGCTGCTCTATGCCTGCTCCATGCTGCTCCATGCCTGCTCCATACCTGCTCCATGCCTACTCCACACTGCTCCATGCCTGCTTCATGCCTACTCTGCGCTGCTCCATAGCCCTCCATGCCTGTTCCATGCCTGCTCCATGCCTGCTCCATGCCTACTCTGCACTGCTCCATGCTGCTCCATGCTGCTCCATGTCTTCTCTTTGCTGACCCACACTGATCCATACTTGCTCCCCGTCACTCACTTTCACACACATCAGTAGAATGGGCAGCAGCACAGAGGAGAGGGTGACTTCTCCTAGGGTGGCACCAAAGGAAATATCACAAAAGAGAAGGCACTTGAGTGGAGCCTGAATGGTAGAAAAAAGTTTACAAGCAGAGCCTGAAGCGGAAGGGCATTCCCAGCAGAGAGAATAGCATGGCCTCAGGACCTGAGGCGGAGTGCACACTGCCGGTTGGGCATGGCAAGGAGCACCGAGCTCTACAGGCTGGAGCGCCCCCTTCACTTTCGTCCAATGAATGTTTACTTGGTGCTGTGAGCATGTGAGAAGTGAGGGCACCACCCTCAGAGGGCTTACCTCCCAGCGTGAGAAACAGGCAGGGAACAGCTAACAAGCATGAAAACAAGCTAACTGTGGACAGAGATGAGTCCGGATCCAAGCAGTGAGGGTAGGGAATGGCAGGGCGGCCTGTGGCCAGCACAGAGGCTGAGGGGGAGATTGGGGGAGCCGGTGACTCGTGCCAATAGCTGTGGGGACAGCAAGGCAAGCGGGGAGCCCTGTGCACAGAGGTCAACATGGATGGGAGGAGCTTGTGCTCAATTCCAAGTGTAACAGGAGGCCTCAGTTTTGAACAGGGAAGCAGATAGACAAGTTGACATCCCCCCTCCAAAATCTCTGCACTGCTAAGAGAAGAATGGATTGGGTGGGGATGGGGAGAGGTTGCAGTGACTGGGTTAGAGCAGAAGGCTAGCGATATAAATTCCGGCTAGAGGTGGGGCTGTCTCGTGGCAGTAGCAGAGAAAATGGAGAACAGCGAGCGAATCTGGAGCATGCCATAGGGGTGGGGATCCGCCCACAGGACCCACTGCTGCCTGGGATGCTCGACTAGGGTGCAGGGAGTCATGAGGGGTTCCCCTAGGCTGGTGGTTCTCAACCTTGGCTGCACATTAGAATCACCTGAGAATCTTTTTAAAATCCTGATTTCTGAGCCTCATCCTCTGGAAATTCTGTTTCTTTGTTACTAATGTTGTGCTCCCTCCCTCCGTCCCCCGACCCC